GATAAGTAATCGACTATACCTAACTTTGTTCCAGCAATATGTGTGACTTTAAAATCAAAAGGTAAAAGTCTGTCTGCCCAACTGTTCACACGAGATTGATACGATTTTTTACCTTGAAAAGTTGATATGATTGCTTTGTGGTCAGTTACTACCTCAAATCTATTTCCCAGTAAAAAGTTTCTGAAATGTTCGCATAACCATACTATGGCAAGTAATTCTAATTCATTAGTACTGTATTTCTTTTCCTGGATATTTAAAAATCTAGAGGCGAATGATATTGGGACCCAGGAACCATCCCGTTATTTCTGTCTTAAAGCTGCACCTAGTCCGCTGTGACTAGCATCACATTTCACCCTGGAATTTCTCTTTTGATCGTAATGGTACATTTTTGTGATGTGAGATTATCTTCAAATGCCTTTTGTTGGTCCGTACCCCATGAATATTTTTCTTTGTTAATCAATTTCAGCGAGGGTCTGAATTGTTCGGTCAGAATATGGAAATTTGGTAGTAATTTCTGAAGGTGGTTAAGGACTCCCATGAAGGAACGTAATTGTTTTAAAGGTTCAAGAAAAATAGGCAATTTAAAAAATATTTTGCCAGAAAAGTATCAGTTAATGATTTCAAAAGTTGTATTTTTGTTTAAACAGTTTACTGTAGCAACTGAACAAGAGAACCTGTGAAAAACGTGTACAAATTACATAATAATAATCAGACGTTATCAGTTCTAATTTTATCTCTGCCAGCAAATTGTTCGTTCAATTGATACTTTTTTCCTCCCAAGTTCTGACTAAAAATTCTTGCAAAGTGAGTTCAACAGCGAAAGCTTGTATTAAGCAGAAAGCAAGAATAACCTTAAAACATAGAACATTTCTAGCGAAAACATCATGAAATTTATGTTGCAGAAGCAGCAGAAAGATAATCGACAGTTATGAAGAAGATTTTGTTGAATTTCAGACAAAATCTGTTATACTTTTAAGAAAAAATAATCTCAAAGTTAATCAATTTTAGCAGTAAACTGTTCATTTTTCATCATTGATCTGAAAATTATTGTTATCAACGAGAAAAATTTTTTGTAGAAATTTGGTTTACTCATTGAGAAAAAACGGAGTCGTTGAATCATGGAGTTTGATCTAGAAAATTCAATGAACATTGCTCTTCTTGTTGAATTTATTTGCGATTCTTATTTCAATTCTTTCTGAACTGAACAAAGAAAAACGAGTTTATTACACAAATAAAAAGTTGAAAATGGAAAAATTTGGATAGATTTGATTAAATTTCCCTTTACTTTCTGGAAAACTACAATTAATTTCGCTATTTTCACGAGAAATCGGAAGTTTTAAAATTGATTCAACTTTTATGAGGTTGTTTTTAGTGATCAGAGCATTATATAACCCGCTTTTCAGCTCAAATAATGATAAACTTTATAGTATTTCAATATTTTGAGAGAAAATTGTGGAAACCCAAAGTTATATTCAAAATTTTGCAGCATTGTCTCATGATAATGCGAATTAAAATAAAATTTTGAGCTCAATTTTAAACTCTGTACGTAAGTATATTTTTTCAATCAGACAAGAAGCAACAAAAAATTAGCCAAACTGAAAACTTTTGCAATTTTTTCCAAATACTTAAAATTTTTGCAATTTTTTTCAAAAAATTGTGACTTTTTTCCAAGTTTCACTAGTTTTAAAACCATGATGAGCTTTCCCTCCGGTATTCACAACTTTCATTAACCTGCTTCTGAGCTCAAACTAGGGTAAATTTTGTAGTATTTTGAGTGAAAATTGTGGAAAAATCCATTTTTTTTCGAAATTTTTTTAACATTGTCTCAACATGATTCCAATTAAAATACAACATGGGCTTAATTTGAACCTCTGCACGTGATATAACAATGATAATTTACTTCTAGATCAGATGCGACAAAAAAAAACCAAATCTGAGAGTTCTGCAATTTTCTCCAAAAAATTAAAATTTTTGCAATTTTTTCCAAATACTTTAGTTTTTTGCTTTTTTTTTCCAAAAACTTGACATTTTTCGAAGTTTCAGTAGTTTTCATCATAGTTTGAAGTAGATAGAGCACTGATTCAAGAAAAAAAGATCATCTAATTAATTAGTTTATAGGTCGAGTGATAACAAATCTTATCGTATTTTGAAGTTTTTGAAACTCTCACCACTGCCTTATCCTGAACCAGAAAACTAATTACATGACTTTCAATCCACAACCTACACTTAATTAACCATTGATATTCACCAATTATATAACGCGCCGAAAATTTTGCGAAAAAACGAGACATTTTCACACAAAAACCGAAGAAATACCATTTTTCTTACAATTCTCTTGCCATCACACTGAAACCTCACCATTCCCTATCTTAATACATTGGGGAATCTATTCCCTATCTTATTGAGTTCTTAATTCCCTAAAATATATTAATACATAGGGAAATCTATACACTATACTAACAGATAGGATATTCGGGCGCCGAAAAAACTTACCATCTGAAACTTACCATCTGAAACCTGCTATCTTTGAACATTGGGAAACCTATTCCTTATCTTATTTCATTGGGAAATCTATTCCCTATGTTAATACATAGGGTGAAGACGGGATACTCTATAGCCTATGTTAATACATGGAGGTCTTCAGACACCACCCCCCCCCCCCCCCGATGTTGAATCCAACCAACATATACTACTCACTTGATTAATCAAAAGCTTTTGACATGGTCAGCCTTTGCACACTCCTGGATCTACTTCATGACACCAGCGTGCCGAGAAGCCTATTTAAGTGGTTGTCAATCAAAAAGTATCTTCAGGGACGACCTGTCAAAATCTACGTCTGTTTATACAGTCGTTCCTCAAGGATCAGTGTTATCGCTGACACTGTTAACATTTTACACCCAAAGATATTAATATTGATCCGAATGTTAATATGAACAAAACTATACTGCCCCTCGATAAACATTCTACAATACTTGATGTTTTCTTCGATCCGTCTCTAAACTTCACAGAACATTCCTAACAAACATTAGCAAAAGCCGCGTGCAGGTTATCGATCCTGAAAGCTTTATCCGAGACTTCCTGGGGCCAGTCCAAAGAAAATTTACTGGTTACTTTTAAAGCTTCGGTAAGACCAATTTTAGATTATGCGAGCCCTGTCAGAGGTTCCACGCTGCCAGTAAAATTTTAAACAAAATGCAAAAAATTCAATATGCTGCTCTCCGCGCGATCACTGGATGCACACAGATGAGCGCAAAATAACATTTTCATTCACAACGTTTAAATGCACACCACAAGTATCACCTACTGGCGTCACCGTTCGCCCTCAAAACATTTGTTCCATCAAATCGGCTTTTTTTTTCATCATTATCTCAAATCCCCCACGGAATGTCCACCCTTCGTTGCTTGACTTATACGCCCTTGAATATGACACTATCCTATCTCAAAATAATACTCTTTCGCCTTTAAACCCGCCACGGGATATTCGCCCTTCGTTGCTCGACTTATACGCCCCTGAATATGACACTATCCTATCTCAAAATAACACTCTTTCGCCTTTCAAAAATTTTAGTGAACGAGGTTCTTTCATCTCCAACCAGTTTAAATTGCTTCAAAAGCAAATTCACACTCACAGAGTTAGGCAAGCCATGGCAGATGCACCACCCCCTAAAGTTCTGCCTCTTAGACCACCTGCATTTTTCCCCGCCGAAGAATCTCTACCTAGTTCCACTAGGAAAACCATTTCCCAGTTGAGATCCGAGTACAGCCCCTTCCTAAAAATGTACCTGAACCGAATTGACCCCAACGTCGCCCCAAAAAGCTCGTATTGTTCTTCCCACATACTATTCTTCATCTTTTTAATTATTTCCAGAACACCACTTTTTCAACCCCAATAGACTTGTGGCTTCCTCCGACATTTCTGAGGCTTGGTTTGAACGTGCCGGAAGCGCCCCCTAGAGCCTAAAATCAACAACAACAGCACCTAATTTCATATCGCTCGCTCTGCTTAAACTCATTCACATAAACGTCTAATATGAACACACGTATTCACCATATCCCTACAAAATGGGTTGTTCCGACCATTTGAAAAATGTGGAGAAATTTGTATTCGGGCGTTTTTTTAAAATTTTTTCCACGCCAAATCAGGTAGTAGGCACCACAAATAATCATCGAAAAGAGTCGAGCCATATATCATAATAAAACCCTTTCAGTCATGATTTGAACGACCTTAATACTTTCCAAAAACCGGTTTGAAACTTTTGAATTTTTGTCTAACTTGGAGCGAGTAAAACGAGCGAGCATGCGTATTTATGCTTAATTTAGGCCGTTTACAATAGCTTACTTATGCTTAATTTTAGTTTAAATCGAGTATGTTTAGTTTTTGGAGTTTTAATAACTCCATTTTGAGAATCAAAACCTTAAAAGTTTCTGCGAAGAAAACTGAAAAAAAAAAGTATTTGTGTATTTATTTTTTTTGTTCTTCTCGTCAATTTTCTTCAAAGCTGCTGTCGAGTTTGCCTGTTTTACTATGACTGCCGATTATGCCTAAGTTGTAGTTTATTGTTCATTCCTTTTATCACATCGCGCAGAAGAAACGATACTAATTTGAATGACAAACAGTTCGTGTTTTTAGGACTATGGTCGGAAACATTATGTGATTCTTGTTTTATTATTTCAACCTCTGAACGGGGAACTTTCGAACATGCTCATAACTTTTGGATACAAAAAAGTTTAATTATCAGTTTACATCAAAGATTATGACAAGCAGCCGGTCAGTGGAAACACTAAACATGCTTGTAAGCACGTCGAACAATAATAGAATTGAGAAATAGAAATTATATTAAAAGGTTAAGTGTTTTGCCCGATAATCGATATAAAAAAAACAGATAGTTTGCTATAAGGTGAAATGTTTTGCGCGATATGTTAACAAACCCGGCTATGAAATTTTTTCTTCTTATTTTTTAAAACATTTCATGATTTTATTAGGGAAAATAAATACTGACCTGGTCTAAGACTACGATCACGCAGAATTTCTTCAGGTATGTCGTTCAAAAACTGGGGAGGAGTTTTTGCATGTGGTGAGTCTTTGTATCTCATCAAAGAGTCCCTCGAGTAAATAATGCGTGTACCTGTCAAAACATATCATTTTTAATGAAGGAGAAGTTGATATGGCATGTCCGCTAAATTTCTGAGATCTTATGTTTAAAGTCTTTTTGATCTGTGTGCACTATTTTAGAGTGAATTGTGACAACGAAGTACGACTGATTAGAGAAACTTGTTGGAACAGGGTTCTGTTTTAAGCAGAAAACTTATTTGGGTTAACTACAATGATTACTAAAACAGCGGACGTTAAGGTTCAATCGATATTTCAGGCGATACAGTCTGAATTTACCTCCAGGCGTTGTCCCGTAGATAGTACCCCCTAAACTGTAAGACACATTTTGAGGCAGTTCGGACTCGTCTTTGAAATACCGTATCGGTATCGCTGTTGAGCGATCGGTCCCTCCGTTTCCCTTCACATCTTCATTGCCGGGCATTCTATCTGAATTTTAGGTCAGACCAAAAAGTATATTTTCCGACTCATTTTTTGTTTTATTTTGTTTTAGCAATGTGCATACACTTCATTTTTTATTCGAAAACTGTTGTCCAGTTTGCTAAGAGCAGAAAAGTTAGTGCAATTACTTGACGTTTTAGCCTAACTGATAAACTTATTAATTAGATGTGATATGTTTCATATTTGCGCCTGTTTGTCGAGCGCTTTTGTAGAGGGTATTTATAGACAGGTCTGTCAATTAGGTCTCTGAACTGGTGGAAAGAGTTCCTGGCACGGAGAGTCTGGTGGTGCGCCGCTGGTCCTTCTGAGCTCGGGTGCGATTGTCCCTTATCTGCGAGTTTAACAGATTACACGTTTTCTTACAGATTTTATATTTTCTTGAAATTATAATTCGAATAAAACTCTTTTTTCATCTATAAATTCCAACCATTATTATGGTTGGACTAAATAGCGAAGGAAAGGCGCTGCAGATGCGCTTGTTAAAAGGAAATAGAAGAAAAACTGAAACTGAAGCAAAACAGTTCAACAAACTAATGAATACTGGAAAAATATCAAGCGCGATTGCGAAACTAACAGACACATCTTAAGGCGAACTTTCGCTCGATGAGATTTTCAAAGGTAAGACAGTAGAACAGACTCTCATCGAGAAACACCCACCATCTAAACCAATTGATGAGAACTATATTACACCAGTCTCTAACGAAACAATTCCTTTCCATCCATCGATATTTGATCAGATAAACGGTCAACATATCTGTAACAGTTGCCTACTTCGGTCACATATGAGGCTTAAGAAAAATAGGCCCTATAACCATTGACTCAGGAGTCAGGGACACTATCTCTTGTGTTTTTCTACCTCAAAACGGTCGGAGCCAATTCGGTTCACTTACGACATGAGACTAAAACCCGTTACAGCTTAAAGGCCACTACCAAAATAACCCAAACTCTAGAAAATAAGAACGTCCCCATACTTAGGTCTCAAAATACCCAAAATACACGAACGCCGTTAAGAACAGGGTCGGAAAAATCCGTTAAGTTACTTTTTATTGGACAGTGGAACTTTGATCCATTTCAGATGGATCAACCTAAAACTCGCCTTACCTCAACATACTTATCACAAAATACACTCGGGAAAATTAAATTAGGTACTCACATAGCAGCACACTTGAAAATTAAGCTAATTAGTAGTTCTAGCATAAATACGATTGAATATAACTCGAGAAGTTCGCTATCAATGATTTCCAATCAAAGGAAATGAGTTTTGGGGTCTGAACCATTGGGAGACTTCAGTTGTCTACCTTTCCACTGATGGTTCACTCTGGCTCAGCTGAATTTCGATGTTCTTTCGTAATCACTTTGTCTCCTATATTAAGATAGGACAGCTCTACTCTTGTGTTTTTTTTACTAGAATCTCGGAAATTGCAAATAGCAATTTACCGCAGTTTTTTCTACCACTTTCCCGCTATTGCGATTCGGTCGTTCTGATTTTTTTTTTGATGTTTTCAGTTGTCGCGAGAAAGTTGAGCATGACAGGCTCAATTCGAATTTTTGAAAAATTAAACTTCATCCCAAAACTACGTATTTCGTATTCCTCAAGGTCAAACTTCCAGATATGACCGACTGGCACATACTCCCCGGACTCAAGATTGATGTCCTCATCGCGTGCTGTTGTCTGTCAGTGAATCCCCAGAAAACACAGTGTTGCTCAAGGTACAGTGCCAGTGGTCAATTACAGAAGTTTGCAGCAGACTTAAGTTTATCTAAACCCCAAAATTCACAACCATGTAAAGTTTTCACACTATCGCTGAACAGCAATCAAAATCTGCACACACCTGCACCATTAAATTTTCGCTTTTTAAGCTAGTAGTTTAAAATTTCTTTTGTCCTATTCAATCAGGAAATTGTCATGCAGCATTTTGATTTATATAGTAGATATAACATATAAATAACAATATCTCATTTGTTAAAATTTCTTTTCCGTGAACCCAGATTTCATCCGACTTCACCCTCGAGCCCCTTTCATTCCCTCTCAAGACTCAAGACTCCAGAATTTGCCATTGAGCCACCTGCTCATCTCGCGTTCTTCGCTTTCGAGGTACCAGACCCAGACGTATTCGACCCCGTAATCTGTTTCAACAGTGCCTCTTCATCATCGGAGCTAATCACGATCTCTTCCCAGGCTTTCAGCTGTTCATAGGACCGCATCCATTCCCTTTGCTCCTGCAATCTCTTTGCTTGGTTGGGCAAACCCTTCACCTTCGACTCTCGGTTCAAACAGAAGGAATTTTGCAGACTCAGGCTCACATTCTTCGCCAAGTATTCATCCAGTATCGACTCTCTCGCCTTAGTATTGTTTCTTGAAACCCTACCGACTCTTTTCCACCCCGTCGTGATCGCATTTCGATGGGTCAGCAGAGGTCTCTTAAAAGCTTCCGGTCCTATCTCGGCCAGGAACTGTCGATCTTCCTTTTGATATTTCTTCATGTGATCCTTCGTTACCATGTACAACCAAGATGTCAACGTCGCTCGAAACCAAGGAAAGAACCTTATGCGGCTCCATACCTGCCTGACCTCCATTGGTATGGCAAACACTTTGCATGCAGTCTCAAACAACTCGAGTCTCTTGTTGTAGTCTATAGCGTGTATCGATTCTGCCGTAGGTGCCTTCGACTCCCTGTACTTCGTTACATTTTCTTCGATCCATCGTGATGCCAACATCGTGCTCACCACCAAGATGGTCACCTTCTGCTGATGATCGGGCAATCCTATCGACTGAATTTCTTCCACATCCCATACCAGGCAGAGGTTTGCGTTATCCGGATACCATACCGTTTGTTCCAGACAGTGGCATGGACATTCCCCATGTGTGAGGTCAATACTCCTAAGGTTGCGCTCTCCCGAGGCTTCTAGGAGAGGTTCAAGTTCCATCATCTTCTCGTGTGTCGTATCGTTCCCCGCCATGTTTGGAGCACCACCCATCGGTTTCCCGATCACGTTTTGTCTCTCGTGGTCACTTGTGTTTTCACTTTACAAACCCAAAAGTTCTTCCCCCCAGATTTCACTCAAGTCATCCCTCTGCTCTCTCGGCACTGTTCCTCGGATTTTTTTCAATAACCGGTGTGAGTGATGCGACATCCGAGCCAAGCTTACACACTTGGGCACTGAGAAGGCCTTGTCTATTAATACCCTTTGGCTGGATACCTCCACCATCGCCATGTGCAATGGGTAGTGGCTGCCGCATAGGTTGGCCATCACTGACCCCACTAGGGACTTCGCATTTAGAGGCAGACCATAGGCTTCGCTCATAGAAAAACCCATTTCCGCCTCAAGTCCGAACTTCCAGCTTTTGATGTGTTTCTGAGTTACCTGCAACACCCCGGGCCATGACTCCACGCTCAAAGCGGTCACCAAGTGATGTTCTGACTCTAGCCTCTCCAGAGACTGGAGACTGCACATTCTTGAGAAGAATCCCAGAGTTGTTGCTAGGTTCACCGTGGTACTCGCGGAACACTCAGCCACTATCTGTACTTCACTTTTCTCCCTCTCTGTGATATCTTCAAACCAAGTGACTAGATCTTCTTTTTGGAAGGATTGTATCCTAACGCATGACCGTCCATCACAGGTGTGCTCGCCACTCCCACACGTCGAGTCAAGACAACTACCCGCCTCCATCTTCTTCGCCGACCCTAGTTTACTCGTCGCTTTGCCTGACTCCTTCACCTGAGGCAAGATCAGCTTGTGCACTATACTCAATGTTGCAAGATCCTCGTCCTCCGCCGGTGCTAACCTCACTCGCTCCGTGACTTCCTCGATTAGGCTCGCGTGGGGATGTGGGCACCAGGAGGGCTTTAGCAATTTCCACGCCACTCCCAGATTCGTGACTAACATGCTGTTCCCGTTACCCATCTTCAGCTCGACTCTTTTACTTGAGCGCGGCACGCTTATCACCTCTGGTGTTTTCTCGAGAATCAAGCCCAAGCTCGGTCTCTCTCTCTACTGTGTCTATTTCCACTATCTTCTCTGTCCAAAACTTTAGTAGCTCCGCTACCTCATAGTCCTGTGAGCGCCTCCGATTTCCGAGTCCAAGAAAGGGTTGTACGCCATCCCCATTACTCCAGACACGTACTGATATTCTCCCTTCTTATTGGGTTGCAAGTACTCTCCTGACGAGTCCAAGTTACGGTGTACGTCGTGCCCCTCCTCAAACTTCTTGTTGCAGAATCTCCGTATCTCGTCTAACTTTCTGTGGCTCTCTAGAGACTGCCTGGAACCATCCTCCTTTTCTATCCCAGTACTCTGGTATACATTCAAGATGACTCCTGAGATTCTCCTTTCTACTGTCTTACTTCCGATTGCTCTTTGTTGAAATGCTAGGATGGTACTGTCGGTCATCACCGACATTATCCACCTCAAGAAACAAGTAGCGTCTTTCCTCCTTGCCAGTCTCAAGCCTGAATTATCCCTAGCAATGTGTTGCATCAATGTCTGATATACTTCTAGATTTTTCCACCCAATTTCAACTTGTCATGCGAGGTCAGCGTTTATAATTCTATTCCCACCAGGCTCCACGCGAACATCAGTTGTCCCGCTGTTCTAACGAAGGGATTTGCCATCAACGGCGACAGGCCGATGAGGAGATCCTCATCGCTTCTTCAAAATGATCCCTTAACAAGTTCTGCCAAGTTCTCTTCAGTTGGCTCTCCAATTCTTATTTGTTAATCTCAGCCTTCTGCTGGGTAGCCCAGTTGCGTCGCTTGCGTGACACTCCACTGTCGAGTTTCTTTAGGCAGTCTTCCAGTTCCTTCAATGTCTCCAGGGCCACCCACCACGGCCGGGAGGTGTTCCTCGTTTTATTCTTCTCAAGAGGATCACTAGTTACTTGCTTCCCAGTGGCCTGGTGTTCATTTGAGACCAAATCTTTGCCAACATCTACTTCCCATGTCTGCCCGCTCGTCGAACCTCTTTTCATATTCGTCCTCTGGGGCCTGAAGTCTTTTTCCGTTGTCGAGTTGGTAAAAATCTCCA